AAGAGCATACGGCGCGCCACATAATCCTGCCATGTCATCATATATTACAATTATTTAATTACTATTTATACATTTTATTGTTTTTATTACATTCTATTTTTATTGTATATTGATATGGAAACAAAAGATCGTATGATAGAATCCACCTTATTTGGTAACTTTTTCAAAATCTACTACTTACTCCGTATTAATATGGATATTTATTAAAATATATATAAAAGAGGAATTTTAAGAGCATCTGGCGTGCCACATAATCCTGCCATGTCATCATATATAACAATTATTTAATTACTATTTATACCTTTTTTATTACATTCTATTTTTTATTACATATTGATATGAAAACAAAAGACCGTTGCGTATGATAAAATCCACCTTATTTGGTAACTTTGTTAGAATCTACTACTTACTCCGTAGTAATATGGATTGTTATTAAAATAAGCAATTGTTGCAACCACAACAATAAATAGTCATCCGTGCACATAGACTTTATTTAATTTAATTATTTTTATACTTTTATTTTTATTACATTCTATTGAGAAGTGAATTATCCGTGTTTTGCGCACCTAACAAATAAATCATCCAAGTTCCTATCAATTTTGTTCTTCAAAGTTATTTTATAAATAAAGTAATAATAGTGTTCCATTTCCTAAAAAGTACGGAGTAATATTTTATTTTTCTAAACTCAATTTTTTGAATGTTTTCTAAACTCAATGTGATAATGACTAAAGTTATCAGACTTATATTTGCAATTGTGTTAATACTTCGTATTTTTCTGCATCATCATACCATTCTTTCGTAATTGTTGAGATAATGATAAAAATTATAACCACAAGATTTTTTTAACTTAAAAATGAAATTGATATATACTATTAGACAGTCATATATGAAAACATTTAAAACTTCTGATCACGTATCTTACCTTTATGAGGATGGAAATGGAAATTCATATCATACATATATGAATACGTTTAGCCCAGCAAAAAAAGTAAACATGTTTAGTTGTTTCTTTATTTTTACAACTACAATTTAGATTTTCCATCACTTTTGACATAGATTCCTAATCTAAATTAGGAAATCTTCATACATTTAGGGTGTTTTTAATTGGACTGGTTTCAGTCTTAGACAAGATCGGATCAAATATCAATCATAATAATAATAATAATAATAATAATAATTATTATTATTATTATTATTATTATTATTATTATTATTTTTATTATTATTATTATTATTATACATAAAATAGACATCTTCCAGACCAAGTTAGAAATGAACATGTCATCTAATTAAAAATATCCTTTTTAATGACATTTTCAATGTGACGAAATAAATGAGTAAATTGTAAAAATGATCCCTTTTTTACATTTCAATGTGACAAAATAATGAGTACAATGTAAGAGCTCACTAATAAATTTACAAATATTTATTTCATACCACATGTTGAATGAGAAATATTTAAAAATAGTTTTTAGATGCTTAATGAAGTAATATAGAGGATGCGAATTAATTAAGAAACTTTTGTATGAATTCTTTAAAATCGGGTTCATAACCATTATGTTTAGTTGAGATGCTTATGTAGAAGTCCAATTTAAATATTTTTCATATAAATTTGAATTACTTTTATTAATTATATATGATTTCGAAAATATCAAATATACAGTTAGCTAAATTATGTACTACCCGTGCATCGCACGGGCTTGAAAGCTAGTTCAAAATAAAAGTGCAAACTTTACACATAATGAGAATTTATTTTTTGTTTTGCATGATCATTTCGTAAAAAGTTTAATCTACCACACTCATTTTAAATTTTTATATCAATCCACATTCTCTATAAACATTATACTCATGTATAACATAAACCTTATTCCAATAACTTATATAGATAATATGTATTCTTTGTAAATAATGTAATTGAGTTGATTTACTCAATTAGTAGTAGTTTGTAATCGGGAAATATTAAAACATACATTATATAATTACATAATTTTGTGTTTGTGTTTTATAATGTTCCGCCTCTACAATATTCTTTTAAACAATAGTCATTATTATTGTATACTTATTTAAATTTTTTGTAATACTCATTTAAAATGTTAATGATGTAAATCTCTATCTCCACACAAGCATGAATAATGTTAGGGGTATAATGATCATAGAAAACGTGTTGGTGTAATTTTGTATATTGGACGATGGTACTAAATGCTTATTTTACTTCAAAGCATGAAGTATTGTCGCCCATCAAAGACGGACAAAACTATCTTTGTTATCATCTGTTAAACATCAAGCATGTATTCACACGTTTGAGATAAAAATACCCTGCGTACAAATATTACTTCGTACAAAATATTTTCTAAATCTTCCTTTCCTCTCAACCTTATTTGTGTACGATCGTCCATTTCCAAGTCACTTTCTTTATCCGGTTCACAAACTCGGCCAGACAACATGGTTGCAAAATGGCCATTTGGAAACTCAAGAGTCCCTAATGATCCATCTATAAATATTTGAGACCCGGTATTGAAAACATCTTGGATTTCCTGGAATTCATCCTTTTGTAAGTTTGTTGGTCTTCTACTTAAGTACGCAGTATATATATTCTTTAGAATTAACTCCTGTTCACTTCTAAACTAGCGTCGTTATTTTTATGTTTTTGTTGGAGTTTAACTCACAAAACATTGTTTCTTCATGTACTAAAATTCAAGGTTGTTGTTATCCCCTTCTTTATATGTTTGATGAAATGCCCATGCGAAATGCCCATATTTGATGAAATGACCATATTTGTGGATTACCCAGACGGCAATCCACAATTGTTTAGGTTCGTGCAGTGTTTATGGACAAATCAATGTATTATTCTTCATTTGTTTTCTTCATCATTTAATATGAAAAATGTTTAGCTTTTCATCTTTTTGACGTAAGAACTAACGAATACTGATTTATTATGGTTGTCTAGTGGAAGATTGTAGCATATCTTGCCTTGTTATATAAATTCCAATCTCCAAATGATAGCTCTCTTGGGTTAACATCTTGAAACTCATGAGGTCTATTAGATGCTAAATATTGTAGGGGTGAACAAAAAACGAAAAACCGAAACCGAACCGACCAAAACCGAAACCGACTCAAACCGATTAATCACTGGCGGTTCTGTTTGTGGTTTCACATTCGGGGTTTAGAAACCGACCGAACCGGAACCGACCGACAAAAACCGACAAAAACATGCTAAAATCGACCAAAGTCGACCCGAACCGACCGATATTAACCAGTACCGAACAGAAATCGAAACGAAACCGAACCAAAACTGACTCAAGTAGCGCAGTTCGGTTTACGGTTTCACCTTTTCCAAAACCAAAATCGACCAAACCGAAAACCACCAAACCAAACCCACAAACACCCCTAAAACATTGTACAAAAAATAGGCAAATAAAAGACAAGCCCTATTTTTAAATGAGAATAAGATCAAAGATGGTTCTGCTTGGGGATGGACTGGGCCGGGCCGAACCGGCCCGGAACCGGACCGGCCCGCTACTGTGCGGGCCCGGACCGGACCGGGCCCGATTGGCCGGTTACGGGCTTTTAGCCCGTGTTGGCGGGTCGGGCGGGCCGGTTCCGGGCCCTATTTTTGTTGAACCGGCCCGGGCGGTTCGGGCCGGGCCCGGTTCATTTTTATTTTATTTTTTGGTTTTTTCAATTGTTTTTCTTTTCCTAGGGTAGGGCTGGGTGTTTTAGGGAGGTTTGGGGCGTGGGGGTGAGGGGGGGGGGGGGTAGGGAGATAAGAAAGTAAAAAAAAAAAAAACATTGAACCAGGCCCGGCCCGGCCCGGTTAGGCCCGGACCCGGTATCAACCCGGGCCGGTTCCGGGCCCTTGTTACCCGAAAAAAAGCCCGCCCGGGTCCATCCCTAGTTCTGCTTGCACATTCTACTAGCACTCGTTTAAAGGCCTAGATAAGCCCCCTTTGTGGCCGAAACCGCCGAACTAAGTTTTTCTTAGTGCATATTTTATCAATCGAGTATTGCTTCTTTATGAGCTTTTAGTCTTCAAAATGAATCAGCTCATTTAGGACTAAAAAGTTTAAGTCTTAAAGCATTGACTTCTAAAACGATTATAGATGTTACAAGTCTCTTGAACTCAGAAAAACTATTCTAAATCAGAGTTGAGCATTGTCAAGTAATATGTATATTTCCTTATCAAACTCATCATAAGATATCACCAGTTGAAACTTGAAAGGATAAGGTGCAGTGATACTGTGATAGGAAGAGCATTGGACTAAAACGTGCATCCTTATTTTCTTAATCAAACTAGAAGTCTAGAAGACTAGACCAAAAAAATTCAATTCAATAAAAAACATCCTTATTTTCTCTTTCTTTTTCAAGTTGTGGGCTATAAATAGGTATGGACCGGGACCGGACCTGACCAGGCTTTTTGGGAGATAGATGAGGCCCGGAACCGGCCCGGGTATCCACCGGTTCCGGGCCAGACCGGTTTCTATTTTTTCTTTTTTGCTTTTGTAATTAACCCCCGACCCCCCCCCCCCCTCTCACCCCACCCCCCAAACCACCCCAAAACACCGCGCCCAACCCGGGAAAACAAAAAAAAATGAAAAAACAAAAACAAAAAAAAAGCCCAAGTGAACCGGTGCCAGGCCTGACAGAACCGGTGCCTGGCCAGGCCAGTTCCAAACAGTGCCGGGCTAGGCCCAGAATCGGTCCATCACTAATTGTAAAGTGTAAACTTATGTAAACATTTATATATACTCCGTATTACCAAGTGATGAATTAGTTAAATATCCTGAATAATAAATAAACTATATCATAAATACAGAGTATTCTTTATTAATAAAATAAAAAAAAAATTATAAAAAATGGCATAAATAGTCCTCGCCGGCAAATTCAATGAGAAAGGTAACTCCCTTGCTTATTTTGATAATTATACAATCAATTGCGCAAAATCAAAAGTTATGAATTTTGTTAAAAAGTTGATTGATAAGACTCATAAGTCGAAGATAGTGGTTACCAAAAGGACCTTGCAATTGCATGCTTTATTGCATGATTTTGACCCAAACCTGGGCTGATATTAAGGTACAGAGTTGTGCCATGATTTTGTGAATAATTGCATGCATAATCACAAGTCACAACAATGCATAAATTTGTTGGCATTATTATTAGCTTGAACAATGTAGAGTGAGGTAATGATGGGAACGCCAACTTCGAAATTCTAACGAAAATGAAGCAAGAAATATATTGTGGACAACAAAAAACTTCACCATCTTTGATCTCAATATAAAAACTCCCAGCCGAAGGCATTCAGGCTGCTTGAAAGGCCTTTAAGAAAGTTTCTGAAGCTTGACCACCGCTTAGCTGCTGTTCCCCATTAATCTGCCAAATGTTTATATGTTTACCGCATATATATGACTATTAGTGTGCTAATTAAATGAAATACTGATAGCTTAACATACCACAAAGTGTGGGACTCCACTTATGTTGGCTGAATATTGCTCAAGTTCTTCATTGACCTTTGAATTATTTACAAATCATTAGCATGTGAATGGTCAAATCATTCAGACCATTGAGCGGATCCTCGAGAAACTCCGCCGCTCCTTCAACACCAACCTTCTTAGCAGCTTCTTCAAGAAACTCCCTTAAAAATACATGCAAATAAACATTAAACAAAAACCTAGCTTTGAGATTCTCTAAATTTGTTTTTGGCTGAACGATACAACCTCCGTCTTACTCAACTTTGCCATTTACGGTTTGCGATAATTGACTGGTAAGTGGTAATAAAGTTAGTTCTTGAAAATATTTATATTACCATCAATAATATTTAAAATATTGAAGCACAACACTAAGAGTTCCTCCATGTTAATAAAGTTGGTTTCTCCCTGATAATCTTAATGTTGGAAACAACATTACAACTTTATTACCCTAGTTTTAATGAAGGGGAAAATCCGATATCGAATTGATGAAAGTATGAAACAGTAATAGTCAAAAGTAGATAACAAAAACAAAGATCACTTGGATAAGAATATGCAAAGTTGAGTGGGACAATATGGGTATCATTAAAAAACACATCAAACAATTCAGCAGATTTAGCCGAACACTTCCAAAATTTTCCCTTTAAACAGGCTCAATGCAAATTATGATATTGGTCTGGATTCTACTACGTATGATTTATTTAATGACATACATCACATAGAAAGTAGCAATTTTATAAGTGTATGAGACAGTAGAGTATAACTAATTCACCTGTCACCAATATACTTGCCCTGAGTGAAATAGCCAATGAAAAGCTCATCAACAAGATTGTGTTGCTTATCGTGGCCCTGTTGCCCTGCAAAATATATGAGCCGGTGGATGTCCAGAGTATTGCCCCTGAAACATAAAAATCAAATGTGCATGCATAAGTAGTGTTCATCATCATAGTCACCTTGAAAAGGTTCATCAGAAACAATATAAACTCACGTTAGTCCAGACATGTCATATTCCAGTCCAAGACCTTTGAAAATCTCTGCCCATTTGACATAAGATGTTATCAACTAAATAATGAAGACTCTATGAATATTAAGACTTGGAGTCACTCCCCTGTCCCGAAATAATTGCCTTTTCTTCCTTTTTGGGCTATCTTAAAATAACTGTATTGTTTCCCTTTTGGCAGAAATATTGTTCATACCATTTTAGGTTTTCTACTCAAATCTAAACCTCATTGCTTACCTTTTAACCACTTTATTAATAAGTGTGCGAAACAAACAAGACAATTATTTTGGGATGAAGGCAGTATATCCAAAAGGTTGGTCAACCTAATAGATTGAATAGTATGATGCTAACTTTATATTGATTAACACCAAGAGAGTGTGATTGGTATTTATTTATTAAAATTTAATCATTTATTTATTTATTAGACATGGAAAATTAGAAACATCTGTTGATTATTGGAAAATTGAATAGTGTGAGGAAAATTCACCTCAGAGTTCCAAACTTCTGCATATAAAATTCTTTCTTGCTTACACCTTCTTTAGGTGCAGAAGGATTAAGTAAATATGGATGCCATTTAATCTGCAGAAGGATCAACAAAAAGGAAAAAGTTCATTTACAGTTTTTTGGACTTCTCACTTCTACAGACCCACAACGTATTAGTTGGCTCTTCATCAATTAAGGATGAAAACTACTTGGTACCCCAGAGCACGATTCAGGACCTGATTGGTTGAAGGAATTAATCAGAGACTTCAAAAACCAGGTTTTCAGGGTTTTTTCAATTTTTCTAATCAATCATTTATTAAAATTAAAATTATTATTACCTAGGTAGCACGGAAACTCTCGGGGAATGGTACGTTTCCCGTTTCGGAAATTCTCGGAAACTCTTTGGAAACTCTCCAAATAAGCCTTTTTTGAGCAAAAGTTGACGTTTCCTGTTTCCCGTTTCCTCATGAATTTCGCGTTTCCGTGCAACATAGATTATTACAAACTCAGTGAGGTAAATTCCATTGAAAATTAACTTTAAGTTAATGTAAAACCGATTGTTTCCATTTTTCAGATAAGATAACCTATCTATCAGGTTCAAATGAAATCAACTTTTGAAAAAAGAGAGTTAAAAGAAGAATCTAAAATGCACCTCAAACTCATAGTGTTCCTTTGACGAAGCAATAACTGTATCCAGGTTTCTTTTCCCAACAAAGCACCATGGGCATACACTATCTGAACTAATATCAATATGAATAAGCTTCTTCTTCTTGCCAATACTATCAGCAGCAGATGATTGAGCCATGAATCTAGTCCAGAATAAAACAACCAAATGGAATGGGTATCATACTCCTCTACAAGCGTAATAGTTAAATTTCGCATATCTTTGTTGCAGAAACACATCAAATTCTCAATTAAATCCACATAAAAAGTCAAAACACGACTTGGCAATCGTGTTCGATTCCTCAATATGCGTAATTGCGTATTGTTTCACACTCACGAACCAGCAAATTATTGGAATTTCGATAAAAAACTAACCTGAGAACTTGGAATTTATGTAAAGAGACCAAATGCATCAGAAGATAAAATCATAAAAGCACCGGTCCTTAAACCACTACTTGCTCACATATTGACTTCTTGTTGGCTTGAATCAGTTGGTGCTTGTGAACCAGATTCCATTTCATGATTAGTACCAGTTGAAACTGCTTCACTATTGACTTGATCATCACAAATCACTCTTAACCTCTTATTTTATATATATATATATATATATATATATATATATCAATTTTTTTTTATCAAATTTAATTAAGTTTTTTGCGACTTTGTAAAACTTTTAATGTAGTCTCTAAATATGTAACTTTTTTCTAAAAATAATTTTAGAATGGACATAGATCTGTTTGCTTTATCGTCGGTCAAACATCGTAAACTAAATTGTCCCAATCTTAGTGGGACGGAGGGAGTATGTATTATATGGTCTACATTTCTAAATTTTTGACCTTTTTTTTCGGGTGGTTTTGTGTTGTAGTACTCCTTGCATGCATTAATATCTAATTACATGTGTTGGATGATTTTTTTTAATAAAATAAATAAAAGATTATATAAAAAATAGCTAAAATAATCCTCTAAAGTAACTTCAGTCAATACAGCCAGAAAAGTAAGTACAACTTTTCTTATTGTTACACAATTCAACGCGTGAAATCAAAAAATACATTTTTGGCAAAAAAGTTGGTGGTAATCCGATAAGTGGAATAATAGGGTCACCAAATGGGTTCTATAACTCTGGTTGAATCATTGTTGGAATTTGGAACAAAGACACTACATTATTACTCGTTATAACATATTTAATCACGGTTGCTGGCACTGCTGCGGTCATTGTGGTTGCAGTAGTAATTATAGTGATCACTGAGATGCCAATTGCAGTCAATGTGACATGATATCATTTTTAATTCCAACAATATTGAAAAAAAATGTTTTATTTTGTAAAGGGCATTTGACCTCAATTTTAAATTCATTCTCAAGCAAATTTCAAAATACATTTAAATTAGCTATGTTCACTCTGAATAAGTTTAATTAGCTTAAAACATGATGTGTAATATATTTAAAAGAAAGAAAGAAGTAGCTAAAAATTGTATTATGGTTGTGTTGCGGCCCGATGTGGTTGTATTGCAGTTTTATTGCGATTGTGTTGCGGTTATTTGCGTGATTTCGATTATATTTGCATTTGTTGTTATTCGCAGTGTGGCTGGCAAGGTTGTTGAAATCCGTAATTGAAAACCCTTGGTTAGATTATATAGACAGTTTAGAAAAAAAATGTATTATGATTTACAAAATATTGATGAGTTCTCATTCAAAAAAAATGGGGCCTATCTTTATTTTATTAAAGATTCGAATCTAATCTTTCTTTGTTTTACTAAATGTTCTGTTTCTTTTGAAAAGACATAAATAACATTCATAAATAACATTTTATTCAAACTTTAACTGCGAATAATACTTTTCAATCATTTTATTATACTTCGTATACTGTTTGAGAATAAATTAAATTTCTTTTCAGGGAGTGAGGGTAGGTTAACACATCAATATTACTTTTTAATTAAATATTCATTTTTGTTGTATTACTTTAAACCAATTTGTTTTTAGAGTCATTTCACTCGTACCGAGAGTATCCCACATCTGCTACGCGTGAAAAAGCAGGTTGGAGGTAAGAGTAAAAAATGATTTTAATGTTTATACGAACTATTTAAATGGATTGAACCTTGTGTATGTATTTAATGCGTGCCAATTTCTGTCTCTTAGGTACTTGTGTCTCCGTGGCACTTGATGATGCAATGAGCATCAGATACTCTATGCAGAACAATACACCTTATCAATCCCTTTCATCACAACATCTGCTAGATTTGTCCGCAAAAGATTATAGGTGATTGTTTAGATATGATTTTTTCCTCTGAAACCAGATTGTTGAGGAGAGACGTTATTCTTTGGGTCGGCGCAGGACCCATCCTGCAGCGTGCACCGCAGGGGGTGAAGAATAAAGTATTATATTTTTATATATTTATTTATTAAATTAATTAATTTATTTATTAATTTATATAAAGACTTATAATAGTATATGTGTGTTTGTGCAGCTCCCAAAGTACTACGTGAAGAGCATGACATTTCTGGCACCTCGTACTACTTTGGGAGCTGCACAAACACACATATACTATTATAAAGACTCTATTTAAATAAATAAATAAATAATTAAATAAATAAATAAAAATATAATGCTTTATTCTTCACCCCTGCGGTGCACGCTGCAGGATGGGTCCTGCGCCAAGCCAAAGGATAACGTCTCTCCTCAACAATCCCGTGGTGGCGGAGGAAAAGCTCATATCTAAACAAACACCTATCATCTTTTGCGGACAAATCTAACAGATGTTGTGATGAAAGGCATCGATAAGGTGTATTGTTCTTCATAGAGTATCTGATGCTCATTGCATCAGCAAGTGCCACGAAGACACAAGTACCTAAGAGACAGAAATTGGCACGCATTAAATACACATACAAGGTTCAATCCATTTAAATACTCCGTATAAACATAAAAATCAATTTTTTTCTCTTACCTCTAAGCTGCTTCTTCACGCGGAGCAGATGCGGAATACTCTCAGTATGAAAGAAATGACTCTAAAAACAAATTAAAACAAATTGGTTTAAAATAATAAAACAAAAATGAATATTTAATTAAAAAATAATATTGATGTGTTAACCTACCCTCACTTCCCTCACACCCTGAAAAGCCATCCTGAAAAAAATTTAATTTATTCTCAAACAGTATACGGAGTATAATAAAATGATTGAAAAGAATTATTTGCAGTTAAAGTTTGAATAAATTAAAAAAAAATGTTATTTAAATTATATGTCTTTTCAAAAGAAACAGAACATTTAGTAAAACAAAGAAAGAATAGATTTGAACCTTTAATAAAATAAAATAAAGATCACAATTTTTTTCAATGAGAACTCATCAATATTTTGTAAAACCATAATACATTTTTTTCTAAACTGTATATAATCTAACAAGGTGTTTTCAATTGCGGATTGCAATCGCAATTGCAACCGCAACATTGCCCTTGTCAACCACACCGCGAATAACAACAAATGCAAACATAACGAAATCACGCCAATAACCGCAACACAATCGCAATAAAACTGCAATACAACCACATCGGGCCGCAACACAACCAGAATGCAATTTTTAGCTACTTCTTTCTTTCTTTTAAATATATTACACATCATGTTTTAAGCTAATTAAACTTATTTAGAGTGAACATAGCTCATTTAAATGTAGTTTGAAATTAGCTTGAGAATGAATTTAAAATTGAGGTCAAATGCCTTTTACAAAATAAAACATTTTTTTTCAATATTATTGGAACTAAAAATGATATCATGCCACATTGAGTGCAATTAGCATCTCAGTGATCACAATAATCACTACTGCAACCACAATGACCGCAGCAATAACAGCAAGCCAGCAACCGTGATTAAATGTGTTATACTGAGTAATAATCTAATAATGCAGTGTCTTTGTTCTAAATTCCAACAATGATTCAACCAGAGTTATAGAACCCATTTGGTGACCCTATTATTCGACTTATCGGATTACCAACCAACTTTTTTGCCACGAATGTATTTTTTGATTTCACGCGTTGAATTGTGTAACAATAAGAAAAGTTAAGATTGTAATTACTTTTCTGGCTGTATTGACTGAAGTTACTTTAGAGGATTATTTTAGTTATTTTTATATAATCTTTTATTTATTTTATTAAAAAAATCATCCAACACACCCAATTAGATATTACCAAACGGGCTCATTTACGATAATATCCTCTAAAGTAACTTTAGTCAATACAGCCAAAAAAGTAACTAAAATAACTAAAATAAGGTTTTAATAAACTGTATTGACAATTCAGTTTACGATATTTGACCGACGATAAAGCAAACAGATTTATGTCCATTCTAAAATAATTTTTAGAAAAAAATTACATATTTAGAGACTACATTAAAAGTTTTACAAAGTCACAAAGAATTGAATTAAATTTGATAAAAAAATTGATATATATTTTTATATATATATATAAAATAAGTGGTTAAGAGTGATTTGTGATGATCAAGTCAATAGTGTCTGAAACAATCTTAGCATAATGAATGGACTAGTATACAAAATGCTCTATATTTAACAATGCCTATTTTGTACATTATTATTTTTAAATAAAAGCATCAAAAGTAAAATATACATGTAGGTTTGTATTACATGATGTGTATTATTGTAATCTCGTGGTCATACCTTTGTAGCTTCTGCGGATACAAGAATCTGAGATGCCCTGTACTGAATAGGAATTATATTAGGCTTAAACATTAGCGGGGTGGGATAAATGTGTAAAATGAAAAAAATTACACTAAAAAAATTGAAAATTTTCTAAGTTGTTGTGGGTTTCAGCTCACCATAGCCTATACATAGATCCTACCCTGCGGTCTCAGTTAAATATTCACATCTTCATGGGGATGGTGGCGGAAAAAATATCATTTTCTTAGTTTTTATCTTCTTTATGATATTACCCAAACCATTGAAATCTAAGTGATTTTCAGCATCCAACATCCACAATAGATAATTGTTTCTGAATATGTCAAGTGCAACAAATTCAAGTTTAGCGAGATTTGAAATATTGATAAGCTAAAGAAAATAAATATTACTTTGTTGTTACATAAGAAAAATGTCATGAAAACTTTCCCATTAAAATAACTTAAAAAAACTTTAGTAAATACACTATAGAGAATACGAATTATGATCAGTGTGAATTATACATAACAAGAACAGCTAAAATTGAATCATTGCAAATAATACCAAAAAATAATTAACCACTTAATTAATGAAAAGATTTAAACATTATGTTTCATTTATTTATACGCTAATTGATACGCTAGGTAAAAACGAAACATCTCCAAAAAAACATTTATGTTTTTATCAATGCTTTAAAAAACAGTTATGTTTCTCATAAAAAGAAACAGTTATCATTGTATGGTAGATCAAAACACTTGCCAAATGAATGAGTTCTACATTTGCAGCACCGACCGATGTTGACATATACAATTATATATGTGCAACTAGACAGGTTAATGATTAACAAAGACAAGAGTTGTTTTGTTATAGGGAAGCATACTACAGTGGGCAGAATATCACAAATTGAAAACGAGCTGGGTATCAAAGCATCAAAGTTACCTTTCAAATACCTAGGGGTCCAAGTTCATAAAGGCATTACTAGATAAGAAGCCTAAATACCACTGGGCTCGGCTTCCTAAGCTTTGTAAACCAATTGAGAATGGGGGTCTGGGCATACGATCTCTGGCAGATATTCAGAAGGTTTCATCTTTAAAATTAGGGTGGGAGTTTCATTTGGACTGAATTGATGCAAAGCCGGTATGGTAAGCGTAATTTGGGTACTTGTAAGCTCACGGATTCTCCAACTTGGAGAAGAATATGCCTCATCCATGAGGAGGCAGAGCGGCAGGTTATTAGAGGGCCTAACTCTATTGTTTGGAAACATACTAAGGATGGGAGTTTTACATCTCAATCGGCATATGATGCTTTCCAGTAGAAGTATCTGGCACTCAAAACAGGTGCCAAAGATTCGGGTGTTTCTCTGGAGACTTTGGAACGGGTGTCTTCCTTTTCCAGAACGGTTCAAATGCTTTTTAGTTGCGTACCCAACAATGTGTCCACTCTGTAAAAAGGCCGAAGTTAGTCAAGACCATGTGTTATTACAGTGTTCGTTTGCAGAATCGGTGTGGAGTTTCTTCTCCAATATCCTCCTACAAAAGAGAAATCAGGTTCTCAACATCAAAATGGAGTTGTTAAGGTGGTGGAGTAGTAAATCCGGAAAATCAATGGATGCTACTTATTCATTGATATTACCAGGAGTTGTAGCTTGGCATTTGTAGAAAGTATACCGGGAATTAGCGAACAACAATTCTGAGCAAAGGGTAGATATGGTGATTCAGAAGATTAAAAATTTTATGAAAGCATGGTGCTACGCGAATGCAAATCTAAAAGGAAATGAGAGAGTTAAGCAACTGGGACTCCTACCAGATTCTTTTGGGAGGAAGAAGCCTCGAACGGACGGTGGATAAAGCCGGAGGCACCATTTGTGAAGGGCGATTTTTAGAGGATATGGCAAATCTGCAGCTGGACTTCTTCTTCCAGATCAAGACGGAGCGGTAGTTCGGGCGACTGGTTTTCCCCTTAGTGGTTCGACGAGGTTGGAGGAGGATGCCCTGGACCGAGCTCTTCAGTGGACGGTGGCGCTTGGCTTGCCTAATGTGGAGATAGAATCTTCACGGAGAAGGGGCGAGTTTATATGGACCGTTTCTATGGGCTTAGATTTGTGACTATTCCGGCCCATGTTAACCACGCGGCCCATGTAGCTTTGGATGCGGTTGCAATACCTTGTTCGGTTTTTTTGCTTTCTGCTCCTTTTGGGCTTCACTAGTTATTCCACCCGTGCGTTGCACGGGAGTGAAGCACGTACATAAAATCATGAATGAATTATATAAAAAGTAAAGAAGAAATTGATAATGAATCAATTAACTGAAAACATAAAAATAAAATAAAAAGTCATATTTAATACTCCCTGCATAGTGAAATATTTGCTATACTTTCTTTTTAATACTTTTTGTATTTTAATTTTTGTTGCACTTTCCCTTTTTGGTAAATTTTCTTTTAAAAATACTCAATTACCTTACTTTTCTAGTTTTTATGTTGGTTTTCATATTTTTCCGTCATTTCTCCAACTTTTTCCACACATTCATCATCTCTATCACTTTTTCTTAAATGTTGTGTTAAATCCTAATGTAGTAAACATTTCAATACATAGGGAGTAGGGTATTAAAATTTAATTTTCGAAGTTAAATATGAACCATCATGCGATAAAATAGGTGTGCATGTATATCCATGAATTGTCAAC